AAAATTGAAAAAAAAAAAAAAAAAAAAAGTTAGCCAGGTGTGGTGACATGTGCTTACATTCCCAGCTACTTGGGAGGCTGAGGTAGGAGGATCATCTGAGCCTGGGAGGTTGAGGCTGCAGTAAGCCATGATTGTGCCACTGCACATGGCCTGGGTTACAGAATGAGACCCAGTCTCAAAACAAAAAACAAACCACGAAGAAAGTATACTAATATGCTATCAGTGATTCTCTTCAAGAGGTAGGATTTTGAGAGGTTTTAATTCTCTTTGGTATGTCTTTCTATATTATCCACATATTCTACAGTGAACATGGTTACATTATATTTTTAAAAGGCAAAATAAGCAACATTTAAATACGTTGATAGGATGATATGCCTCTGGAAGAGTGCATCAGAACCTTCAATGGTGGTTGTCCCTAGTTAGGGCAACTAGGGGCTCAGGGACTGGGGTGAAAGACTACATTTTTCTAGTTTTGAATATCATACCACTTGTATGTGTTACAAATTAAAACATAAATAAATAGAAAGGAAGAACATCTTGATAGGAAGGAAGGTGAGGGCTTGCTGGGTGTCATCTGTGTGGCTCTGGTGTCTACTACACTGCGGTGATGCAGGTGAGATGGCCATGCAGAGGGACCTTGCACTGGGGTGGGTGGGCACAGTGCCCTGGCAGGATACTCCTCTCCTGTCTCCTCAGGTCCAGATCAAGGAAGAGACCCGCTTAGTGTATATCATTGACCAGATTGACAAGGCTGTGGCCATCATCCCCCGAGGCGCCCTCTTCAAGACCCCTTTTGGACCCACCCATGTCAACCGGACCTTTGAAGGTGAGTTCTCTGGGGCCCCTCTCAAGGTCTGGAGGGTATCTTTTCCCAGACAGTAGAACTTATGTCTGGGAGTCCAGCAGGGGAACTTGCACACTTCATCAAAGAAGGAATAGCTGTGACCTTATCATCTGGGAAGGTGTGCCCAGTGACCTGGCCCTGGTGGTCGGTATGGGCTCCCCAGTCACTGGCCCCTGACTCTCTTCAGCTGAGGAGTGGGACAGCCTATAGTCCCCTGGTCCCAGGGCTTTACATGGGTCTGGGCTACTTGCTGTTTCCTATCTCCTTCCTCCTATCTCCTCCTTGGACCCTCCCCTCCCCTCCCCTCCCCTCCCCTCCTTCCCTTCTCTTTCCCCTCCCCTTTCCCCTGTCTCTTTCTCTCCCATCCCTCCTTCCCTCCCTTCCTTCCTTGAGGGAGTCTCACTCTGTCCCCAGGCTGGAGTGCAGTGGTGCAATCTCGGCTCACTGCAACCTCCGCCTCCTGGGCTCAAGAGATTCTCCTGCCTCAGCCTTCCGAGTAGCTGGGACTAAAGGTGTGCACCACCACACCCAGCTAATTTTTTGTATTTTTAGCAGAGATGGGGTTTCACCATGTTGGCCAGGATGTTCTCAATCTCCTGACCTCATGATCTGCCTGCCTCGGCCTCCCAAACTGCTGGGATTATAGGTGTAAGCCACCGCGCCTAGCCCACTTCTTTCTTGAGTTTCGCTCTTATCATCCAGGCCAGAGTGCGATGGCACGATCTTGGCTCACTGCAACCTCTGCCTCCTGAGTTCAAATGATTCTCCTGCCTCAGCCTCCTGAGTAGCTGGAATTATAGGCACCTACCACCACACCCAGCTAATTTTTGTATTTTCAGTAGAGACAAGGTTTCGCCATGTTGGCCAGGCTGCTTTCACACTCCTGACCTTAGGTGATCCACCTGCCTGGGCCTCCCAAAGTGCTGGGATTACAGGTGTGAGCCACTGCATCTGAGGGGACTCTATGGCAGGATCTGGTCTAAGTTTGGACTGAGGGAACGCTAATCCCTTTTATTCCTTCAGCTGTCTGTCAGTGGTTGACAGGGTCTTTTGCAAGCCCCACCATGTGGTCCCAATGCAGAGAGAAAGGGGGTTGGGGAGTTTTAGGCTAACCATCCTTTTCCTGCCTGCCACCTCTTTCTAGGACTGTCCTTGTCTGAGGCCAAGAAGCTCAGCTCCTACTTCCACTTCAGGGAGCCTGTTGAGCTAAAGAATAAGACCTTGCTTGAGAAGGCTGACCTGGACCCCTCCTTGGATTTCATGGACTCCTTGGAGCACGATGTCCCCAAAGGTAATAGTCCATTACCTTGAGGCCATGGGATCTGTCCTCAGGTCATAGCAGTGGGCCATGCCACCTGTCATTCTCCTCTGAGACTGGAACCAAGGGCCTAGTGGAAGTTGGTGGTTCACCATGGGTTTCTGAGGGCGGGGCTTTCCCAGGGCCTAGAGCTTATAGTGTACACTTGATGAATGTTCTTGAATTACAGAAGCTAGGATTGTTTTCCATACGCTTTCACAGAGCAGAGGTATCTCAGCGTCTCTTGATTTTCATAGCAATCTTGAATGAGGCAGGTTGGAAATATTCTCCCAAACATCCCTGAAAATACTAACCATACTTACATCTCAACTATTACTTTTGGGATTCTGGGATTTGGGGATTGGATATAATGCTTGGCACATGTAAGTGGGGGTTGACTGATTGAATAGCAAACCACCTGCTAAGGCAAGTTCTGTGCATCTGCTTTCTACTATACATATAGGAGAAAGTGTTTAAAATCTTAAAGCATACAGCTTTAGAGGCCTTCCTGTGTTGTAGGGCCTACCTGGCCCAGGCACAAACCCAGCAGTTGTTAGCAGGGCCGCTGAGACCCCATTTCCTTCCCTTGAGCATCTCCCATAGAGTCTTCGGATGCTATGACCCAATCCAGGTGCCAGGCTCTAGGCCACTGGGGGCCAGGCCCAAGGCACAGACTCAGTGCCCTACTTCTTTTTCTTCCTTTGTTTGGTGTTCCTGAGAATGAGAGGGATCTAATGATGATGATGGCAATGATGATGACAATAACAACTAACTCATGAAACATGACACTGCTGCCGGGTTCGGTGGCTCATGCCGGTAATCCAAGAACTTTGGGAGGCGAGTGGATTGCCTGAGCTCAGGAGTTCAAGACCAACCTGGGCCACATGGTGAAACCCTGTCTCTACTAAAATACAAAAAATCAGCCCAGCATGGCGGCATACACCTATAGTCCCAGCTACTCGGGAGGCTGAGGCAGGAGAATTGTTAGAACCCGAGAGGCGGATGTTGCAGTGAGTCGGGATTGCGCCACTGCATTCCAGCCTGGGCAACAGAGCGAGACTCTGTTTCTTAAAAATAAAAAGAAACATGACACTGCTTATTGTGTGCCAGGCACTGTACTCAGCTCTTGCCATGCCTTATCTCATTTTAATCTTCACAGCCAGCCTATTTTATCCCCATTTTACAGATGAAGAAACAGGGGCTCAGAGACTTAAACCCAAGGACACAGTAAGTGTTCAAGTGTCAGATTCCATGGCTCTGGCATAAACTGTATTAAGTAAACAACACAGTTTAAACGATAATAGGAACCACAGGACGATGGTCACCCACAGCTCTAGGGGGAAACACTTTTGAAGAGCAGCCAACGACCCAGCTAGACAAGATCTCAGGATGGGGGTGGGGACGGCAAGGGCTGTGGAATCAGACAGGCTGTTGGCCACTTACTAGCTGTGTGACTTCATGTAAATCCCTCCATTTCCCTGTGCCTCAGTTTCCTCATTTCTAAAAGGGGAGAATTGGTATTTTCTACCTCATTGGGTTGTTATGAGAATTAAATGGACTACTCATCTGATCTGATCTTGGAAGCTAAGCAGGGTCAGGCCTGGTGAGTACCTGGATGTGAGAATTAAATGAGTTAACTCATGTCCAAAATGCTTATAACAGTGCCTAACACATCGTAAGGACTCAAATGAAAATCAACACACTAGCCGGGCGTGGTGGCTCATGCCTGTAACCCCAGCACTTTGGGAGGCCAACGTGGGTGGATCACTGGAGGTCTGGAGTTCAAGATCAGCCTGGCCAACATGGCAAAACCCCATCTCTACTAAAAATAGAAAAATTAGCTGGGTATGGTGGCACGTGTCTATAATCCCAGCTACTCGGGAGGCTGAGGTAGGAAGAATTGCTTGAGCTCGGGAGGCAGTTCTCTGCCTCCACCTTCCGGGTAGCTGGGATTATAGGTGCCCGCCACCACGCCCAGCTAATTTTTGTATTTTTAATAGAGATGGGGTTTCACCATCTTGGCCAGGCTGGTCTTTAACTCCTGACCTTGTGATCCACCTGCCTCAGCCTCCCAAAGTGCTGGGATTACAGGTGTGAGCTACCATGCCCGGCCAAAAGCCTACAGCATCCAGTATTCCCAGGTTTTTTTTTTAAAAGTCTTGCTCTGTTGTCAGCCTCCTGAGTAGCTGCCACTTCAGGCACACGCCCCTATGCCCAGCTGATTTTTGTATCTGTAGTAGAGATGAGGTTTCACCATGTTGGCCAGGATGATCTCCATCTCTTGACCTCATGATCTGCCTGCCTGGGCCTCCCAAAGTGCTGGGATTACAGGTGTGAGCCACTGTGCTGGCTTAGGTAATATTCTTAATCCTTTGTTGTCATTTCAACAATGTTCACAGCATCTTCACTAGGAGTGGGTTTCATCTTAAGAAACCACTTTCTTTGCTCATTTGTAAGAAGCAACCCCTCATCCATTTAAGTTTTATCATGAGATTACAGCAATTCAGTTACATCTTCATGCTCCACTTCTGAATTCTAATTCTTTTGCTATTTCTACCACATCTGCAGTTACTTCCTCCACTGAAGTCTTTTTTTTTTTTTTTTTTGAGACGTAGTCTTGCTTCTTTTGTCACCCAGCCTGGAATGCAATGGCGGGATCTCGACTCACTGCAACCTCCACCTCCTGGGTTCAAGCGATTCTCCGGTGTAGCTGGAATTACAGGTGCTTGCAACCATGCCTGGCTTTTTTTTTTTTTTTTTAAAAGTAGAAATAGCGTTTCACCAAATTGGCCAGGCTGCTCTGAACTCCTGACCTCAGGTGATCCACCCACCTCGGCCTCCCAAAGTGCTGGGATTACAAGCGTGAGCTACTGCACCCAGCCTGGCTTTTTTTTTTTTTTTTTTGAGACAGAGTCTTTCTCTGTTGCCAGGCTGGAGTGCAGTGGTGCAATCTCAGCTCACTTGCATCCTCTGGCTCCCGGGTTCAAGTGATCCTCCTGCCTCAGCCTCCTGAGTAGCTGGATGACAGGCATGTGTCACGATACCTGGCTATTTTTTGTATTTTTAGTAGAGACGAGGTTTCACCATGTTGGCCAGCCTGGTCTTGAACTGATCTCAAGGGATCTTCCTGCCTCAGCCTCCCGAGTAGCTGGGACTACAGGTATGGACCACCATGCCTGACTAGTTTTTGTATTTTTTGTAGAGATGAGGTTTCACTGTGTTGCCCAGGCTGGGCTTGAACAACTGAGCTCAAGGGATCCACCCACTTCAGCCTCCCAAAGTGCTGGGATTACACCCATGAGCCACTGCGCCTAGCCTAGGCCCACCTTTTTCTCTTGATGGTTTGATGAGAGCCATGGTGATGGAGTGGAAGTGTGGATGGTCAGAGGAGGGCAGACAGCTCTGATTTTCCTCCCCAGTTCCCTTATCAGTTAGGAAAAGGGCATACTGAGCTGCTGGAAGGCTCCCCTGCCAGGCAGGCAGCAGCTGGGCCGGGCTGCTAATTGGGGCCAAAACCCCAAGGAAGAGCTCCCTGGGACACCAGGACTGGCTGGAGGGACGGGATTTGCCAGCTGTTTTCTGGCCAGTGAGGATAACTGTTTCCTTTCAGGGTCTGAGGCAACTGTTCAGGGTGACTTCATGTGGCTTCTGAGCAGGTGTGGTTTAGGCTGGCCCTGTTCCTGGGACTCCTGCTCTCTGTGTCCATGAGGCAGGCCAGCGGCTCAGCATCTTGGCCCTTGGTTGAAGTGATAAGATATGCCTTGGCTGAAGAGAGGAGGGGGAGGGCCATTGTTCTCATGAGCTGTCATGCCATGTCCAGGGATCTGCAATGTTCTATGGGAGTGGGTAGCTGGTTCTGGGGTACCAGGACCATCCTCCTGCGGGATCCAGGGCAATGACTAAGAGTTCTCCAAACTTGGGCTGGCTGCAGCCAGGTGGCATAGATGCAGCTGTGGGTCAGGAGGATATATATATATATAAATTTTGAGTCTTGCTGCAACCTTGGCTCACTGCAACCTCCGCCTCCTGGGTTCAAGCGATTCTCCTGCCTCAGCCTCCCAAGTAGCTGGGATTACAGGCACAGGCCACCATGCCGGACTAATTTTTGTATTTTTAGGAGAGACAGGGTTTCACCATGTTGGCCAGGCTGTTCTTGAACTCCTGACCTCAGGTGATCCACTCACCTCTGCCTCCTAAAATGCTGGGATTACAGGCGCGAGCCACCGCGCCCAGCCAGGGGGCTAGCTTTCTAGGTAGTATCCTGCCATTTGATGCTCCCTGACCATCCACTATATCAGCAAATAGCCACTGAGCAGCTACAACAGGCACCTGTGATGCCCTTGGACTAAGACACCTCCCTTGCCTCTGAGGTTTGAGAAGATCACATGAAACAGAGGATGGGAAAGGGAAATGTAAACTAGAAGGTGCCTTGCAAGCAGGGTCATCGGTGTCCTGGGAGGTAGTGTGGGAGGTAGTGTGGGAGGGCTGGAGCGGATGTCTCAGAATTGCCAGGTGCAGTCAGACTGGGGCTCCTTCCCAAGCAATTTCTCAGCAGCAATGCTTAGTTCAGGCAGCAGAGGGCAGCATGGGGCCTGCCTGCCTGGAAAGCAGCCTTTGAAAGCTGCTGCTGGTGTTGGCTGAGGACTGGGAAGGGGGCAAGTGAGGCGTGCATGGTGGTGGTGGGGGGTAACATGGTGCCCTCGGTCAGCCTTCCCTTAGGGATGTGTGCAGGTGGTGCTTCCTGTCTCAGTTTCTTGGAAGCCTGGCTGACCAAGTGTTCGGCCTTCTGGGCCATGGGGCCTGACTCTGCTGCTCATCAATTTGATAGGGCACTGGTGGCCAGGGGTGCCTCACTCTTCCTCTGTCCTCAGGCCTCTAAGGATTACATGATTCTATCTTGTGGCCCTTCTAGGGGATGGGGGTGCCTCTCCCACTGGAAATCCATGGCCATTTTTTTGTGTGACAAAAATTTTGTTGGTACTCATCTGAGAGGGTTTAAGCCATCTGTTGCCCCTAGACAGCCCTGGTCCCCAGCCTGGCCCACTCTCCCTCAATCTTAATCCCAGAGCAGCCTTTCTTCCAGGATGGCAGGAGAATGTAATTAGAGTAAGTACACACTAGCCTGAGGTTTCCCTACTAGCAAGGTGGGTGAGACCCTGGGGGCCCCCTCCTGACTTAACAACTTGTACCCATCACATTCTCAAAACACAGCTTCTGGAGAAGAGTGGCTGCCAGAGGGCAGGAGGGATTTGGGGAGAGAGGAGAGAGCAGGGGCTGTGAACCTGCAGCACCAGGGCTGCAGGGGGTTTTTCCCTGAGTTCTGGAGGCGGTGACAGCAGCTGGCTGGGCTCAGCCTGTTCAGCAGTTGCAGTAAGAAAGTGGGTGAAGGTGACAGCAAGTGCCTGGCTCTTCAGGTAGATGCTACGTGACTCCTGGCACGTTGAGAGTCTGTGTGTTTCCTGGGCGACCAGCTGAACCAGGGACGATGAGAGAACAGGAGTGTGACAGGAATGTGAGGGAGGGAGGCAGTGCTGTTTTCTGGCTGGCCCCTCACATGCCACTTCCATACTCCACCAGGACCCTACCGCCTATGCGATGTTGCCCCCTGCCTGGTGGCGGCTCTGTCTTTCTCTAGCTCCCCTGCCAGTTTCTCCTTGCTCTCTGGGTAGGAGCCCCTGCTGATAGGCCTGGGCCACTTTACCCAAAAACACTGTTCCTCCCACTCTGTGCCCCCTACCCCATTACTGGAGGCAAGCGGTGGCTAAAGCCTAGGCTGACAGGCTGGTTTGAGGGCAGGACCCAGCTCTTGCCCAGGCATGCCAAGGTGCTGGCAACAATGAACTGAGAAGGGTCTAGGTTGGAGGACTCCAGGATTCCATTTTCTCCAGGGCAGCATCTGGCCCAGGCAGGCTGCAAGCTGTCCTCCCTTGGAAGGCAAAGACAGATAAGGCAATCTGGTCTTAGTTCAAGGGGCCAAGGGACAGTGTGTTTATGGAGGCTGCCCCCTGACAATCCTCTGGGCTGGTGGGGTGACGGAGGGGGAATGGGACCTTCCAGGGTCTGCTTCTTGCCCGAGGCCGAAAGCAGTGGAGTAGGAACACTCTGTCCTGTCGGACCCCAATCCTCATCAACCCTAAGCAGTGTTTTCTGGAGATGCATAACCAGGAAAGTACCAGGCTAGGGACACTTGAACTCTGAGGGCAGGCCTGAGAGGCAGAAGACCTCAAGCACCAGAGAAAAGTTGTAAGAGTCTGGGGAAATGCTCCATCTCAGGGGCAGTGTACTTTCTTCCTAATGTTGTCCTGCAGGCACCGTGTGGGCTAGGGGAGCTGACAGGTCCACACCGCGAATCTGACTTCATTATCCCTTGCATGGGTGATGGCACTTGGTGCTAAAGGGAGCTTTGTGACTGGCTTCTCCCTGAGCAGGAACAGGGACAGTCAAACTGGGGTTTTGACCTGGGCAGGCGGCTATACCTTGAGCAGGGCTGAGCTGCCATGAGGATCAGGGGTTCTTGGCAATCAGGTTTCTTAGATGAAGGGTGGCCCCCAGTGGGTGGGCACTGAGTTGTGAGGCTGGTGGGTGTGGAGTGACCAGGGTGGACCATGGTTGAGGTGGTCCGTGGGAAGCTGGAGCAGCAGCAGCCAAGCAGCCGGGCTGAGCTGGCAGCTGATGAAGGCTTCGGAGCAGCTCTCAGCGCATGGCTGGCTGGTCCAACACCAAAACTTTCAAAGCATTTGCCTTTCTGGCAGGGCCCGTAACAGGGCTGTGGCTGGGCCGGGAGAGGCCTCAGTGCACAGGGGAATAGAAGCCCCAGATCTTCATCCAGAGGCGATTTTCCCAGGCTCCTTCCTCCCACACTGTGGCTCCCTCCCTCAGTTCTGGAGCTGAATTAAGGCCCTTCCAGCCAAGTCCTCATGGCTGCATGACTTAGCCCTTAGCAGGGCTGCTCCTGTGTGGGGAGGCAAAAACCAGGGCAGAACCCAGGACAAAGGCTCATTAGGGGCAGCCCAAGTCCCCTCCCACCAAGGATGGCTCCCAGTTTACCAGCTGCCAGAAAGGGCCATTGAGCTAGGAGGCCTGAACTAGCCAAACTTCTATTTGAGCCTTCCTTTCCTGGTCTGGTCTAATCCAACTCAGGAGAGGCTTCTGGGAGTGGGGAAAGACAGAGCAAAATGGCAAGTAGGGGCAAACCACACTAGAACTGGTGACTGCACTGGGTATAGGGTGAGAGGAGCTGGTGTCTCCCTTGGCCCAGCCTAACTCCCCTCTGCCTGTGGATTCAGCCTCCTCCCCCACTCAACCTTTAGCTAGACTTGCTGACAGGAACAAAACAGACTGGTTCGAGTTTCACCTCTTCATTTCCTCTGCCCTCTTAATGAGCAGTGAGAAGGCTAAAAGGGCCAGGTGTGGTGGCTCACACCTGTAATCCCAGTGCTTTGGGCAGCCAAGGTGGGAGGACTGCTTGAGCCCAGCAGTTTGAGACCAGCCTGGGCAATACAGTAAGGCTCCATCTCTACAAAAAATCAAAAAAGCTAGCAGGGTGTGTCAGTGCATGCCCATGGTCCCAGCTACTCTGGAGGCTAAGGTGGGAGGCTCACTTGAGCCCAGGAGTCAAGGTTGCGGTGAGTTGATTGTGCCATTGCATTCCAGCCTGGGTGACATGCTCTTAAATCGAAAATAAGAATGGCTGCCGGGCGCGGTGGCTCACGCCTGTAATCCCAGCACTTTGGGAGGCCAAGGCGGGTGGATCACGAGATCAAGAGATCGAGACCATCCTGGTCAACATGGTGAAACCCCATCTCTACTAAAAATACAAAACATTAGCTGGGCATGGTGGCCGGGCCTGTAATCCCAGCTGCTCAGGAGGCTGAGGCAGGAGAATTGCCTGAACCCAGGAGGCGGAGGTTGCGGTGAGCCGAGATCGCGCCATTGCACTCCAGCCTGGGTAACAAGAGCGAAACTCCGTCTCAAAAAAAAAAAAAAAAAAAAAAAAAAAAAAAAAAAAAAAAAAAAAAAAAAAAAAAAAAATAATAATAATGGCTAAAAGGCAACTGGAATAAAGCACCTCGGAGAATTAAAGGGTCTTTCCCCAGTGGACCCTGAGCACCCAGGCCTCATCTCTTCCCTGTCTCCTCCCAGGGTCCTGGAGTATCCAGATGGAGAGGGGCAATGCCCTGGTGGTGCTGCGCAGCCTGCTCTGGCCAGGCCTCACCTTCTACCATGCTCCCCGCACCAAGAACTATGGCTACATCTATGTGGGCACTGGTGAGAAGAACATGGACTTGCCCTTCATGCTATAGAAGGCGCCAGCCTGGATTTTTAAACACAGCATCTTAACATGATTTTCTTAAGCTTCAGTGAACTTGGCCTGGTTGTTCTGTCCTACCTTCTTATCTCCAACGTCGTCTGGTTCCAGGTTCTGACAGGCCCACTGAGCCAGGGAACTCATCTCTAAACCAAATGGCAGAGGGTTGGAATGTGCTAATGAAAGATACTAGACAATGATGGGTGAAAATAGCTGTGGGAGAAGGTGACAATCAGGGCCCCTTTGAAGAAGGCAGTTTCTTGGATTCACACGAGAGCGGCAGGTGTGCCAGGAAGCCCTCCTTGGCTCCTTGTGGCCCTCCCAGACTAAGGAGCTTACAGCTGTCATAAAGAGGATGGAGCCTGTTTGGCCCATGAATTCCCTCTAATTGACTCATTGGCTCCATCACAAGAGATCAGTGACTCAATGCTCAGCCTGAAATGTGCCCAGGTGCCCCTGTACTTCCCAAGCAGTGAGCACACATCCAGTGGGTACGCCCATGAGCCTACTTTATGACATTCCATTGGGCAAAACTCCTGTCCCCAGCACTGAGCATGGCCCAAGCCCCACAGCGGCTGCCAAGGGACCCAACTGCCCTGCTTGCCTCTAGCTCTCAGCATTGCTACTGGGCAAGCCAAGGGTACTGAAGTTTATCCCACTGTCCCCTGTCCATCCATATTGGAGGGGCCAGGCCATCGTGGTGGGGTGGGGCAGGAAAATAGTTGGGGCCGAGGGCTTGTGAGTGGGCCTCCTACTCCACAGCACAGGTGCAAGAGGAACTTTGGAAGCCCTGCTGTCTGTCATTGATACAGCTTCCAAGGTGTTCTTGAGTAGCAGACATTGTCCCTCAGGAGAGGTGACCCCACGGGCATGGGCACCCTGTTCCAGCGGGGGCCTTTTTTGTAGATGGGCTTGACGGACTTGGGAGCCCAGCGTGTCAGGTACCTGTGGAGGGAGAATAAAGATGTGCCTGTGAGGGCTGGGGGCCCAAGCTGGAACTGGGAGAGTGAAGCTCTGCCTCCTTAGGCCAGGCCATGGTTGGGCAAGCAAATCGTTTCACCAGTTTCCCTTTCCTGAAGTGCAGGGATTTTCTTGGGAGTAACTGCTGGGTGTCCTGTAAACAGATGGGCTGGGCTCTTGCTGCTGAAAGCCTGTGTGGCCAGGGTCAGGCAGCTCAGAGCCACGAGCTCCCTTGATCTTCATAATTGTCAATGTTTGTGTGTGTTTGCTGAGCAAAAGGAGGAGGAAGAGGCTGCCTGAGCAGATCATTCCTCTGGCCTCAGCCATGGGGTGAGAAGAGCTGATGTAAGGGCCTGAAGGAACCCATTACTCTTCCCCATTTGGCTCACTCAGCCACCCTAGCCTTTAGGGAACTCCCCAGGGTACCGTAACTGGTGTAGGACCCCTGCCCCTCACCCAACCTGTAATGGGAAACAAGTGGTAAGGGCCTGCAGGCACAGCCCTAGCCCAGGAAGTTTCCTGTAAGTAGGAGGTGGGGTGGGGAAAGATGGCTGCCACCCATGGACCTTTGGCCTTCTCTGGGGATGGCCAGGGCCCTGATAGTTCCCAGAAAAGTGGCTCATGCCAGCTGGGATTTGGTTTTACTTTGTCCAGAATAAAACTTGGATCCTGTCCAGAAAGGCCCATCCTTCATGCTGAAAGCTCAGCTATGACAACGGCCAGGAATCCTCCCCTGCCTCCATTCTAGGTTGGGGCTCAACCCAGCTGTCTCTAGAGACCGTCAAAGAAAACACTTTTTTATTTAAAAAAAAAAAAAAAAAAAATCAATAACCTTGACTAAAAACTCTTAAGTTAAAAAATGATTGCTGATCTATGCAGTTCAACTGAGCTCTACTGGACCTTGGTCTTCTGCGGCCAGCCCTGAGTGAGGGTAAGATTCGGGAGGTGCCGGCCTGCACTCCAAGCGTACGCTCGGCAGGGAGGGGAGGGACTATTCTGTGTCTCCTCAAGCTGTCACTGCCCTGGCCAGGGTGATGACTATGAAGGAGGCTAGCTACAGGGACTGCTTTTTCTATGGTCTGTGGTCCTGGGTGACAGAAGATTAAGAGAAAGGGAAGGGACCAGGGATGGCCCCTTTGCTGGCCTCTCCCAGGCTTCAGAGGAATGCATGAGAGATGGGGTAGGAGAGCAGGCTCCCCAGAAGAGGTGCTCATTGAAATCTGGGGACTGCAGAGGATAAGCTGACCAGGTTCTCCTGAGCTACCACCCTAGAGCTGTTCTTTCTCCCATGCCTTGGAGAGGGAAGCTGGGCTTTAGCTGGCCTTGGGCCTGGTGCCTGTGCCACATGGAGCAGCCAGCTGGCAGGGGGTGGGCTGGGTGGCCTCCAGCCAGCTCTCTGGGAACACCCCAGCTCTAGCAAGAACCAGCCCCTTCCTACCTCTTGAAGGGGCAGCATGAGGAGGGACACAGCGGCAGACAAAGCATGGCTCCACCAGGCCCCAGCAGAGCCTGCACCCATGCATGGCAGCATGGAACGAGACTCCTCTGCAAGGGAATCAATGTCCTTCGTAGCCTGAACTCCCCCTCCCACTCAGGGTGGCCTTTTGCAACCAACAAGGCCCCACACATCATCAATCCTGTGTCACGTTAAAGGAAGCCGGATGTATGGGAGGGCGCCTGGCCTAGCTTCAAAGGCCTGAGGCACCATGGATTGTGTCCTCAGGCCTGCTGCTGTCTCTTAAAAAGGCAGAGGGGGGTGGGCTCAACTCCCAAATGGTCCATAGGACAGTTGGGAGACATAGGAAGAGGTTAGCATGTTCTGCTCCCCAAGAGCTGCTGGCAGATGGCTGAGCTAGCAATGTGGGGAGTGCAGGTAGAGGTGGGCATGTAGCCAGGGTGCCGGCATGGTGTTGGTAAAGGTCCAGCTCTGACTTAGCCTCCAGGTACAAAGAGGCAAGATACCAGGAAGAAGCCCTGCATTCCCACATCCTGCACCCCCCTACCCTCCATGCCTGAATTCTGTTGGGGATCCGCCTAGGAGGTTTGCTGGGGGCTGAGGTGTCTTGCTTTGCATCAGTCATCTTTGATACCTTACAGAGAGCAATGAAATTTAAAAAAGGGCAAAAACTGCAATTACTTTTGCGTCAACCTAATATGTTCCTCAGTCTAGTCTGGGAACCACTAGCTGGACAGAAGGAAAGGGCCATTGGTAGGGGAGAAGAACCCCCTCAAATCTATTTTACAGACCTGGCTCTACTCTCTAAAGAGGATACTACAAATCTAAGAGTATGTGAGTATGCTGATGTCAGAGAGGACGGAGGAAGGGAACTTGCAATCGGACAGCTGCTTGAATGTTAGACAAGAATCGGCTCTCGCTCTATAGGGTCCTGCTTAGACTAGAGGGCAGACTGAATGATTCCACGGGCTGGGGGCCATCCTCTCCTCGTCTATATAAACTCAGGGCCTCCTAGACTGCCACATGGCGCTGTGTAGATTAACTGCACAACCCTGGGGAGCACTATTTGTGACCTAGTTTACATGGATGTTGTCCTGAAGTTGTCCAATGTGCAACCTGCACAGCTGTATTCAGTGGCGCTAACCCAGGAAGCCCTCCCATTTCTAAGGCCTTCTGCCCTCTAATAACCCCAGCGCTGGAGAGAGCTAGGATACTGAAAGTTTGCAGTGGTACTGACATCCCCATAGCAACCCAGTGTGATGTCATAAACGAGGGATTAGCACATTCTAACGCCCAATCAGCAAGCCTCTACCCTCCTGGCCCCTTTGCTAAGGGCCCTACAGGGGAGGAAAGAGGCTGAGGCCAGCAAAGAAAGCAACAGAAGAAGCAAAGACTGCAGCAGGGGTGGACTGATGGGGGTGGGTGCTCAAGCTGGCAGAGAATGGAACGGACAGGCAAGGTGCACCCCAGCTTTCCTGAGCTGTGCGATGATTTCCGGCAAACAGCTTCCCCAGTGGAAGCCAGTGAAGGCTGTGGGCCTGCAGAACGCTCAGGCTGTTCACACCCAGGTTTGCTTACCGGTTGAGCTGGGGTTTCTTCTTCGGAACAACTCCTTCAGGAAGCCGAGGCCTGTGATTTGGTAACAGACCTGAGTGGAGGGAAGAGGGGACAGTCTTTGCAGTTCCCTCTGCAGCTCTGAGGGGGCCAGAGGGAAAGCCCAAGGGAGCGGGGAGGTTGGCATTGGGCAGTGAGTGTAATTAACACTCTGGATATCCAATTTTCTTCCAGGAGGGGCCAAAACATGGGGCAGCTGGGTGGCGAGAGACAGCTCCTGCAGCCCTCTGCCCCTCTTGGTCCTGAGGGCCTTCTACCTGCTCGGTGGGCCATCTTCACACATTCCTCGATCTTGCGGTGTTCTTCCCGGCACAGGCCTGTGACCTTTCGGGGTAGCATGCCTCCATGAGGCCGGATGAACTGGCTAAGCAGCAGAACATCCTAGTGGAAACAGAAAACAGGGGATGAGGGTCAGCTGGGCTTGCTTTTGATGCTGGGAAGCTAGGACTTTATGGTCTACAGGGGAGGTGGATGTCTCCTGGGAACCTGCCTGAGATCACTTCCTCCACACACAGCATTGCACACTGGTCTGCTACCTTTATTTACCCAACAAAGGTTAATTCCAACTTAGTAAGATTTTCTGTACCCCATTACCAACCCCAAGAGCTCCCAGCTTCTCCATGAGATTTTTTTTTTTTTTTTTTTTTTTTGAGACAAAGGCTCACTCTGTTGCCCAGACTTGAGTGCAGTGGTGCAATCTTGGCTCAATGCAATCTCTGCCTCCCAGGCTCAAGTGATCCTCCCACTTTAGCCTCCTGAGTAGCTGGGACTACAGATGGGCACCACTATGCCTGGCTAATTTTTGTAGAGATGGGGGTCTCACTATGTTGCCCAGGCTAGTCTTGAACTCTTGGGCTCAAGCAATCTGCCCGCCTTGGCCTCCCAGAGTTCTGGGATTGCAGGTATGCACCTCCACACCCACCCTCATGAGATTATCTTCTGATAGACTAGAGAACAGAAGCTCTTCCAGAAGAATCACCAATCTTTTATGTACCTGAAGCATTTTTCTTGGACAAAATGTCTGCTG